CCTTTTTTTAAATCCCAATATGATATTGATTTTGTCATTTTGTTTAGGAAATATAATTCAATTGTTTCGATTATTTCGAGTGAAAAAATAAACAGATTTAAAAACGTAACTTAGTAAGCAGACGATAAATTATTACTGTTTTTCCTAAGCGTGCCTGGTAAATGGTAGTCAAACCCATTTTCTTTCTCACGAATGAAATTTTCACATTATTATTTAAATAGCAATTCTCAGCTTGCTGTTAAAACTGAAAATTTAATTAGAACTATTACGAGTTTACGCATCAAAATGATGGCATTCCTAAAATTGTTATTTTCTGAAGTCCTTACTATTAATAGGTTTTATGTCTTTAAATATATATTTTTCAATTATCATATGAATATCATATAGTAATTTTGAGGAAATAAATCTATCATTTAATAACCAATAAAATAAATCTCCCTTTTTATGATCAGTGGAATCGAGTGTTGGGAAAATACTTAACTCATGCCATTATATATGAAGGCTTGCATAAAATTGATATTTTCCTAAGTCATTATTTTTAACAAGTTTTTACACTTGGTCTTTAAATATATTTTTGCAATTATTATATTTACATGCAGTAATTTGTGCGGTGGAGCAGTTTATTATTTAATAACTATAGTAAGTCAATCTCCCATTTTGTATCCAGTAGAAACTAGTATTAATAAAAAATACTAATTAACCCATGCTGTCAAAAATAAAGACTTAGATGTAATTGATATTAGAATACTTTCACGTGTGAGTGTTTAAATATATTTTTGTTATATTCATATGCAGTCATTGTTGGAGATCAGTTTATTACTGTTTAAAAATATAAAACTGATCCTCTACTTTTCATCCAATAGAATATTTTATTAGTATTAGTTTATCCATGACATTAAAAATGATGGTGTAGTATTGTATGTAAATGGGGTACTGCTATAAAAGAAGTACTCCACAGCGAATGCCAGTCGAGTTACTCTCTGTTGACCAGACAATATCTATTCTAGAGAGTACTCTACTTCATAACAATATGGCGTCGCCGATAGGATTCCTAAACGCGTTGTATGAACCGGAACACGTAGAAATGTGAATTAGATGTTTAGCAGCTGGGTTAAAGAAATTGAAAGGCAAGAAAACCCCCGGAGGGAAGAATGAAATTACTGGTTTATTTTGGGCTTCTGCAGGATGTGAAGCCAAAAAGAAAATATTAATTATGGTATACCCCAAAATACTGGAAGACTTAACATCTGAGGAAATTTCAACTCTTATAAAAAATAAAAGCTGGTTGTTGCAGAAAGAACAAAATTTCTGGAAAATAGACAAAACCCAAATAAAACCGTAATGCAATATTTACACAGCTTGAAAGAAGCATCAAGATATTGCGAATGTGAAAAACTGGGTTCGAGAGAAATGTCTATAGAAGACGAATTGATCCTTCTAAGACAAACTGAAGGCATGTATACAAACATAAGATCATAGAACGGCTACAAATAAATGATATGAATTTAGAAGCAAGTGTAGAATTCTTGCAGCAATTAGAATTAATTAATGAATTTAATAATTCTAAAAATGATGCGGAAACATTCAACACAACTAAAATTCTAATTAAGTGCAAATATTGCGACAAAGAACACGAAAGAAATAAAAAACAAATGCCCAGCGCTAAGACAATTATGTTTAAACTGTAAATGAAAATACTATTTTCAACCTGTGCGCCTCTACAAAAAAAGAATAGAACGGGTAGAAAGTATAAATCCTAATACTGAAAATACAGAAATATATTCGGTAAGAACACCTTCAAAAATTAAAGAGACGGTAAAATAGAATGGCATAACTTTTCCCATGCAAATTGACACGGGGAGCTATGTTAACTTGATTCCAATGAATTTCTAGGAAAAAATGGTTAAACCCAAATTAAGAAAAAGTAATCTTAATTTAAAACAATTTGATGGATCTATTATCAAAACTCTAGATTCCTTTGAAGGAACTTTCGAAACAAAAAAATTCCCATCACTGTTGTAGAATGCACAAAAATCATGGACTCCTAGGAATAGACGTCTTAAAAGTGGATACAGCGAAATTAATAAACCGTATAAAGCCAGAAGAAACTGACATATGACTATTGAAAGAATATAAAGCGAGTATCTGTCTAAGAGAAAATAGCCACCCGATCTATTTTGAATTTTGAAAAATATCTATTTACATTCTACCCATGGTAGTTGCAAAACTAAAGAAAATGTTAGAACAGGCTATATTGGAAAAAGTTACCCAAGGTGGTAGCAGTTGGGCTTCACCAATTGTTGCGAGACGAAAACCCAATGGCGATTTGAGGATATGCGGGGATTAAAAAGTAGGTGTAAATCATCAGATATGCTCTGATTGATTTCCCTTACCTAACATAAATTCATGAATTAGCAAAAATTAAATACTTTGCCAAGATTGACCTGAAATCAGCATATAACCAAATAGAAATTGACGAAAAAATTTAAAGAAATCACTACAATTGATACCTCGATAGGATTACTAAGATGGACTCGTCTTCTATTTAGAGTTAAGACTTCAAGCTATATTTTTCAAAAGGCATTTGAAAAAGTTCTATCGGAGCGGGTAAAAAATATAATCATATATCAAGATGATATCGGTATAGGTGTTTTCAGTAAAGAGGAATTAAAAACAAACTGAACAAGTTTTAAACAAATTAAAAATGCTGGTAATACGATAAATAACGATAAATGTGAGTTAAATTGCGACAAAATATCGTATTTAGGATACCAAATATCTAAAGAAGAAATTTCACCAGACAATAAGCTGATAAATAAAATATCGTTAAACTATCTACACTAAAAATTAAAAAAAGAATTAGAAGCATTTTTGGGATTGACCAATTTTTATAACAATATCTACCTAGATACAGCGACCTAATAGAACCATTTGAAGAATTACGAAAAACGAATACAGAATTTAAATGGACTCAAAAGCAAAATATAGCTTTTGAAATCTTAAAAGGCACTAATAAGAAAACCGCTTGCAAAAATCGTTGATCCAAAAAAAGTGACATTGACTACGGATGCAAGTGAACATGCTGTAGCCACAATTTTATCTCAAGAAGGTCATCCAATAATGTAACTGTCGAGAAAATTAACACCAACTGAATCTAACTACTCAAATATTGAGAAAGAACCGTTAGCAATAGTTTGAAGCAAAGAAAATGTTCGTAATTTTTGTTAGGACGAAAATTTTTGTTAATGGCAGATCACAAATGTTTAGATTTTATGTTTAACCACAGAAAGGAATTACTAAAAGTCACATCTTCTAGAATTTTAAGATGGGCTATAAAGCTCATGGCCTTTGATTTCGATATCATATACGTAAAAGGCAACACTATCCCACATGTGGATGAGCTATCCAGACTAAATTTCGACACTAAAAAATTATAAAGTTTGAAAAGTTCATAATATTATTAGGCTTTCACGTTTATCTTTAAATATATTTCCCTCAAATCATTGTGTTAAGATGTAGTTATTTGTGGGGATCAATTTATTATTTAATTACTATAAAGATTGATCCCCAAATTTTACGTCCAGTAGAATTTTCTCATGGTACTAGATTAACCATGTAATCATAAATAATGGCGTATATTGATAATTTAAGTCCTTACTATCATTAGAAGTCTTCCTCCTTTTAATCTTTAAATATATTTTTTACTAATTGTTATATTAGTATGTAATAATTCAAGAGGATCAGTTTATGACTTAATCACTATATAAAACCAATTTTACGTCCAGTAGAAATTATTATTAATATTAGTTTACACATGTCAACAAAACTGATAGCATATGCGAAATTGATATTTTATGTCCTTACTATTATTAGAAAGTTTTTACATGTCAGTATCAATTAGTGTCGTAAAATATGTACCAACTCTTTCAACTGTTGACAGTGCCGATTAAATATTACCACAACAATAAGATACATGTATGTATGTATATATTTAGCAAGAAACAGACTGTTGCCTCTGGCTGTTAACTTCAATGTCCACTTCTATATTTACATACGCTCTATCGCTGATATTGAGCACATTAACCCATAAATACAGCATACGTTAAAACTATATTTTATCATATATATATATATATATATATATATATATATATATATATATATATATGTACATACTGACCTCTCAAAAGTCAAGAGATGGCAGTTTATAAAAATAATGGCGCCATTGTACATTAACTTCATGGAAATATCCAGACAGATATCATTTATGCTATAATCTGGTGAGTCAATGCGAACACCAGCTCAGCTTGTTCCTGCACTTTGCCGAACTAGAGGGGTTCCTACGCGATACTAAGCCCATATCCCATAACATCTGTTATGACCGTATATATATATATATATATATATATATATATATATATATATATATATAAACACGGAGATTATTGAAAAGCCCGACCCATCTCCTAATATCTGACTACATGAGTAAACATCCGGTAATCTTTGTTGGAATGGATTCTTTATCAAGCTGAAAACTTTTCAGCACAACCTCGCTCGAGCGTTCGTGTGTGTGTGTGTGTGTGTGTGTGGTGAGGTGTCATATAGGTTTATAGAGATTAAGTGATTGGAGTCAACGAAAACATTCTGAAAGTTTGGGAGTTTTAGTTCCCATTATATAGAAGTTGATATAACGAATTTCACCGACCCAGTGCCAGATATATGACTAACCTTTGAATGGTCTTCAATCTTGCCACTGAGATATGCCAGCGAGTTTTTCTCTCATGTGAACGTAAACAATAGCGTTTTCTTTCCGGGAAGAAAGAGGCAGGCCGTTAATAATCACCGATTGTATGAGATCGGCCTTTTTATTATGCAGCCTGTCTAGAACGGCGATAAAGTTGTTTTTCAATGAAAGGAGAAATATTGATTTTAAAATTTTCGATTTAATCAATTAATTCCTTCCTTTTTTAAGAGAAATCAATTCATGGGTAGGGAAAAAGTCACAAAACGTGATTGTTAGAGAGATATAAAGAGGAAAGAGAGGTATAGTGATTGGGAGCTCTCTCGGCATCTTTAGTAATATTGATAAATCTGAATAGGCTGAGATAGATAGATAGATAGATAGATAGATAGATAGACAATGTGAACTGATTGTGACAGATAGATAATGTGAACTGATTGTGATAGATAGAAAGATAATGTGAACTGACTGTGACAGATAGATAGATAATATGAACTGTGACAGTGTCAACAGACTGAGATAGATAATATGAACAGGTTGAGATAGATAGATAGAGAGATAATATATATATATATATATATATATATATATATATATAGATATAATCGGCTTGACAATTGCGTCTAACATGAAACAGCCTGTTGCCTCTGAGTGTTCACTTTTATATTTATATTTACATATGTTCTATCTCTGATATTGAGCACTTTATCCGATAAATATAGAAAGCACCTTAAAACTGTATTCCTTCATATATATATATATATATATATATATATATATATATATATATATAGAGAGAGAGAGAGAGAGAGAGAGAGAGATTGATAATGAGAAAAGTTGTGATTGATAAATACTTAATGTAAACAGACTGTGATAGATAGAGCGGTAATGTGAACAGTCTGAGAAAGGTAGATTCATAGATAATGTGAACAGGATGATATATATATATATATATATATATATATATATATATATATATATATATATATATATATATATATATATATATAGATAATCTGAACAGTCTGAGTTAAATAGTAGGAATTGTGAACAGACTGTGATAAATCGATAGACAGATATTCTGAGACAGACATGAGATAAATAAGATAGATAGATAATGTGAACAAAGTAATAGATAGATAGACAGATAGATAGATAGATAGATAGATAGATAGATAGATAATGAACAGACTCTGACTATGTTAGATACATATGAAAAGGTGAAAAATAGATAGATAGATAGATAGATAGATAGATAGATAGATAATGAACTGATTAGATAGATGAAAGATAATATGAACAAACTGTAGATAGATACGGATAGAGATGATAGATAGATAGATAGATAAAGATATAGAGAGATTGATACATTGATAATGAGAACAATGTGATATTTAATGTCAACGGGCTTTGATAAATGTATAGATAGACAGATATTATGAACAGACTTTAAAATATATGTAAAACAGATAAATAGTGGGAACTGTGGCAAAGATAGATGATAATGTCAAGATGTGATAGATAGATAGATAGATAGATAGATAGATAGATAGATAATGAGAACAAGCTGTGATTAATAGATATTTAATGTGAACAGGCTGTGATATATAGATAGATAATGTGAACTGGCTGTGATAGATAGATAGATAGATAGATAGATAGATAGATAGATAATGTGAACAGACTGTGATAGATAGATAGATAGATAGATAGATAGATAGATAGATAGATAGATAGATAGATAGATAGATAGAGTGAACAGACATTGATAGATATATAGATAGACAAATATTATAAACAGACTGTGATAGATATAAAGAAAACTAGATAGATAGATAATGTGGACAGTCTGTGATAGATAATGTGGATATCTTGTGATAGATGTGAGCAGCCACTGACATATACACAGATAGATAATGTGAACAGAATATTATAGTTAAATGGATAATGTGAACAGTCTGTGATAGATAGATAGATTGATAGATAATGCCAAATGAAAAGGAGGAAAATGAAAAATATTGAAGAATGATGTATGAAATATATTTCAAATGAAGAGGCGGGATATAAAGACGTCATGAATCAGCGTAAATAAAAGAGTGGAAGATATCAAAAGAAACCAAGGGAAAAGTTCAAATTGAATATTGGAATGGTTTGAATACAACAAGATAACATAAACAAAGCCGGCATTCCATGATGTCTGAAGTTACTTCCATTGGAACATTTTGACAATACCTGCAGCTGGATATCGGGTGCACTAAGTCAAATGTAACCATAGACTATATGTACATAGAGCGCATAAGCTATAATACTTACTAGTATTACGCGCGTGACTAATGCTTTAAACATTAAATCAAAATAAATGGGTTCTACAATTCACTATTACGTTATTGCCAATCGATATTTCTTGTTATTAAAACCCTTTTGAAAATTTTTGATCTGCAGTGCATTATTTTTGTACACACTTTTGCACAAGATTTCAGTTTGATTTTGGCACTCATGTCTATGACTGATCATCTGCAATTCGTTTACATTAAAACATCTTTTCTGCATGCAGCAATAAATCAGCATATCATCGATAGTATTTAATTAGTTTCCCACCAATATCCTGAATGAAATTCAAATCTAAAAACTGCCTCGTAAAAAGAGGCGCCTAAGCAACGTATTAATTGGTTTCCCATCAGAAACTTTTTACAAAATCAAATCCAGTTTTAAACAAGCGATAGCAGTTCATAAGCATTTGTTCTTCAGTACCTCGAAGTGGTGTAATGGTTAGGAAGCTTCCTTCGCTACATCAGTTACGACTGTATAGTGAGTTCGTTCCTCACCGGGTTCCTTTTGCTTTCAGCCTTGTGCCACAACCAATCTATGCTTAGGAAATCGCCATAAGACTTTGTTGTTTACCTTTTCATTTCCCCGAAACTTCACTAATCTTTCGTGTCAAGATGCTAATGTTCTTTTTCTTATCAAACTTGTCTCTGTGAATAATTGCTTAAGAACGATAAAACATTTTTGTACTATTTTTCACCCAATACAAAAACCCAAGAATCCCTCAAAGTAGAGGGTTAGTGAATGAGGGTTTTGTAAGGGCGTAAAGGAGGAGATAAGAAATGCCTATTATAAGTAGGGTAAATTACGGTTGACTCTTAACTTGAAAAGGTTATGATTGTAGTGATTGAGGAAGCATCCCATCGGGAGTCTGGTCTACAAATTAATAGTTCTGGAGAAGAAGCTGAAAACTACACTCTAAGGGAATGAGGATGAGTTAACGACGTGTATATAGCATGGCGTGTCTTAGCTGTGAGGTTCTGAACTGGTAAATAGCGATAGAATATTGAATTAGCTGACAAATCTTACTTTGTGGGGAAAAAAAAGATTGCAGGATGGAAAATTAATCGCCCACAAGGCCGCATAATCGCTTTTGAACTCTGGACTGAACAGCACCAACCCAAATATAACAGCAATACTCCATTTTTCGTTTGATCTAACTCTTGTAAAGAGAACGTGGGTGGGGGAGTCGGGTACTTCAGGTTTGATGTGGGGCCAAAGTTGGGACCACAGAAGTAAAACACGGAACACGGATTAGATGTAAGAAAGATATATTAACAACAGGTTACAGAGATAGTGTAAGCAGAGCTTACTATAAGTTAGTGTCCAACACTGGTAGTCGTACTAGACTTTCACTGTCTCTCTCTGACTCTCTCTGTCACTCTCTAGAGTGCTATGTCGCCTACTGGAAGAGTCTATTGTGTAGGTAGTTTCCGGTCTCACAATACCCCCTTCCAAAGAGTTTTCTTTTTGAAAAGGAGAGAAAAAATAAAACTGTTAATACTTTTTCCTCTTGGGATTTACGTCGAGCGGTTGAGTAAATTTCCTTTTCCTTCCTGAGCGTCGCACTTCAGGAGAGACTTGGGGCATGTCGAGATCGAACTAGAGATCTTGATGCGTGAGCCACAGCTTTTCGCGAACCGTCTAGCAGTTTATGTAATATGCAAGCGCCTATGCCGTACGAGCTTGCATCACTTGCGACTATGATGTTGAGACTAGGGTCGAAATGTGTGAGGGAGAGGTCTGAAGTAAGAGTTTTCTTGATCTTCTCGAATGCGTCTTGGCATTCCGGGGTCCATGACCATGGTTTGTCCTTTTTTAAAAGTTGGTTGAGAGGCCCTCTCAAATTTTGCATATTCTTAATGAACCCTTGGTAAAAGTTAGCTAGGCCGAGGTAGCTTTGTAACGCTTGAACGTTCTCTGGGGCCGGAATGTTTCTGATCGCGTTGGCTCTTTCTGGATCCGGCCGACGACCGTCTTTATTTATGACGTGCCCTAAGTATTTAATCTCTGGTAAGAAAAAGTCACACTTTGTCTCCTTAACCTTAAAACCGTATTCTTGTAACTTTTCGAATACGTTTATTATATGGTTCCGGTGCTCTGCCGTAGTTTTACTAGTAACCAATATATCATCCAAATAGGCTGTTGCGTAATCAAGGTCGCCCAGCATGGCGTCCATGACCTGCTGGAAAATTACCAGGCGCAACCTTTATTCCAAAAGCCAGTCTATTGTATTTGTACAACCCTCTATGGGTGTTTATGCAGAGCAATTTGGAACTTTCTTCTTCCACCTCTATCTGAAGGTATGCGTCCGAGAGGTCGATTTTAGAAAAAAAAAATTTCCACCATTGAGTTTATTGAAAATTTCTTCAGGGCTTGGGAGAGGATAGTGGTGATCTTGCAAGGCATCGTTTAACCCTGTGGAAAAATCTGCGCATACTCGTATTTGATTGGACTTCTTTTTTACGTAGACCGTAGGTGCTGCCCACTCGCTGAAATCTGTTTTTGACAGAATACCTGCTTGTTCGAGTCTATCTAACTCTTTGTTGATTTGCTCTAGAGCAGCGAAAAGGACATTCCGTATCTTTTTGAATACCGGTTGTGCACCGTCCTTCACCTTGAACTTAGCTTTCATTTTAGTACATTTCCCAAGGCCGCCAGAAAAAACCTGGGGAAATTGTTGTTTGAGTTCCTTTTTGAGATTTACCAAATTGGACGTCGTACTTTGTATCTTGCGACAAAATGTACTCATTGGGCAATCCCAAAGATAGAATTTTTCTATCCACCCTGTTCCAAATAAGTTAACTGCAGTTTTCAATACGTAGGCTTTGAGCTTTTTGGTAACTCCATTTAGTGTTACTGTAAGTATTACCTCACCTAAAATGTTAATATTTTCGCCAGTTACGGATTTTGCTGTTTTATCCGTTTTTAATAAGGTCGGCTTGTTTAATTTTCGCCAAGTACGCCAATTAATGGTTGAAAGATCGGAACCCGAGTCAAGCTGAAATTTAATGGAATTATTGAAAATATCCACAGTTACATATTTCCTTAAATTCCTATCGGCAATATCGTCAGATTCAGCTTGCCTAATTTTATTTTTCTCGTTCTGTTGGCGTACCAGCACGAAGTTAAAGTATGACCACTTTTATTGCAATTTTTGCAATATTTTTTGTTCTTAACTGGACAGAATTTCATCCAATGCCATTTACCACAATGGTAACATGGTCCGGGCGGTTTCTTTAACCTATTTGGGTTTTGGTTACTGCGTAATTTAGGACATGAGATTTGCCATTTGTCTTTTGAGGGAATAGGAGGTAGACTTACTTCTGATTTTATTAATCTGAGTCACACCTGATTCCTCGATAGTGTTTGAGTCACGCTTTACAGATATTACTCTTTGACAGTCCCCTGCCAGTTTTTGGAGAGTCAATCCTTGTTCGTTCTCAAGCTTGGTCAGGACCCGTCGTCTGACTTCGGCGTCTTCTGCTGATACTAGACCTTGTGCGAAAATCAAGCATTTAACTTTGACTGTGTTCAGGCATTTCCAACGTTTGTGGAACAAGGTTGTGTTAGGCCCGAATAGTTCCGATAGGAGCTTAATAGCCTCTGAAAAATCCAAGTCAGTGGTTTTCTTGGGTAATATGAAGTCTACGAACCTACTATGTTCTGTATTTCCCAGTTTTCTCAATAAAAGACGTACCTTCTTTTTACTGGACCAGTGTTCACAGTCTACGTTGAAAATATCTTCGTAGCACCTGTAAAAAGCGTCGAACGTTTTGTCGTTCTCTGGTACGTATTCAAAGGTTTCCATTGAATTGTAGATTGTACTCTGGGAGAATATTGTATCTTTTTCAGAGTTTGAGCCTTTTAATGCATTTACGAGTAATTCTTTAAGTTGTTTCTGTTGTAGTTCAGCATTCTGAAGCGTAATTCGTTGGAATTCCATTTATTGTTTATGTAATTTCAAAAATAGTTGTTGTCTTTCTTCTGATTTTTGTTGCTGATCCAAATTTAGTTTTAACATTTGGTCAACTGCTTTTTGAAAATCTTCCATATTTAAAAATGACAGCGCTTTTTTTGTTGCTTTGAAACGCGAGTACTAAGAGGAGGTACAAAAAAAATCTTGATAGAATTTTTTTTTTTTACAGAAAAAAAATGGACAGACACAGTTAAACTAAATAATTATGTGTTTAGCTTTTCTTTTTTTTCCCCGTGGTTCCGTTAATTTTAACGTAATTGAATAAATTTTCACCACACTTATGTAATTTTTTTTTTTATAGAGGTACAAAAAGAGAAAACTCACCTCAGTGAATTTGAGGGGAGAATAATTTTATGCCCGAGTTCAACTCAGTTACATAAAAAATTTTTCGATAGTTTTTTCCGAAAACTTGAGTACAATGGTAGTACTTCTGCTCTTGTATTGTCAGTTTGTTTTATGACAAACTGTTTTTTTTTTCTCTGTGTGTGAGTGTGTAAGAAATCGTTCTCGTAATGTTATTTGGACAGACTTTAATATTCCGTAGATGTCGAATCGCTCGTTCGTCAATGCTGTTTGGTATCGGAATATATTTTTTTATATATGTAGACGCTGGGTGTTGCGTTTAAATCGCTAATGTAGTAATACCAGCTTAACCTCGTTCAACACTGCTGTGGGAACGCGTAGAGTTTGTGTATTTTTCGAGTACTGTCGCTATTGATATGGTGAGAACGAAATTCTCAAATCTTTCTGTCGCCACTGATGTGGGACTGGGAAGGTATTGCGGTTTTCGACGTGAATGCGTTTCTCGAATCCTCGTCGCCACTGATGTGGGGCCAAAGTTGGGACCACAGAAGGAAAACACGGAACACGGATTAGATGTAAGAAAGATATATTACCAACAGGTTACAGAGATAGTGTAAGCGGAGCTTACTATAAGTTAGTGTCCAACACTGGTAGTCGTACTAGACTCTCACTGTCACTCTCTCTCTCTCTCTCTCTCTCTCTCTCTCTCTCTCTCTGACTCTCTCTGTCACTCTCTAGAGTGCTATGTCGCCTACTTAATATAGGCCTGGAAGAGTCTATTGTGTAGGTAGTTTCCGGTCTCACAATAAGGTTGGGTACAAAGAACCGACCATTCTTCCAGCTTCTTTAGCAATGGTTCGATATACCTGTTCCACTTGAGGTCTGGAGTGAGCTTTACTCTCAGAAGACGTCCGAGGCAAAAAGTTTCATTTTCTAAATACACCTTCGTGATGGTTCCAAAATTTGTGGACAAATTGTGATCAGATGAGTTTCCTGGCAATTTATCAAATATCATTTTGGAAAAAATAAAGCATCTCCCAATTATGCATGACTAGGAACGCAACGGACAATATCACTTTCTTCACCAAATTTAAACCACAATCAAATATTTATGCTTGTACACATTCCACAGGATGTGCATAGGCGTATCGAAAAGAACAGAAAAACCCGAGAAAAAAAAACCGTGTGTGCACGATTGTCAATAAAATTAGGACCATGAAGAAGTATATTCTCCTTCCCTTCGTTCGAACCATCGAATTAAAAATGTTCACTGTTATTGAGATATTGTTTAATCAATCATTTAAATTATCCTTAAATTTAGTTGTTTAATTAATCGCTTTCTACATATCGAAGTGGCCAAAAAAGTGTTTTTTTTCTTTCTGATTTATCATTGGATAGTATTAATAGGGTGAGCTTTAAGTAATTTCATTCAAAATGATTGATTTTATTCAATTTTAACGAAGATAAAAAACGGTGTATTTTTGTTTCTTAATTCTAGCGATGATGAACATGAGAAGTATATTCAACATATATTTTTTTATTTTAAAAAATGGTAAAAACGCAACTGAGACACAAGAAAAAATGGTTTAGCGCAGTTTATGGATAAGGGACTAAAAGATCGAAAGTGTCAAAAATGATTTGCAAAATTTCGTGCTGGAGATATCTCGCTGAATGATATTCATGGTTGGATAGACCAGTCAAATCATGACATTACTTGGCAGTAATCAACCTTAAGCGACGCACGAGATAACTATCATACTAAAAATGTCCAAATCAAACATTGAAAGACATGGATGGATAAACGCTATGCTATACAGCTAAAAGAATCGAAAATGGCAGATCCAAAAATATATTAAGCGATACTCATAACTAAATCGTTCTCCTGAGATTATTGAATATGTTTTGGTCATAGGGAAAATTTTAAAAAAACTCTACAAAAAAAGACTGGTTTGGGTTTTTTTCTGCAACTGAATAGGAAATTCCGCGAGACTAAACTTTGGAAATAGTCATACGGTCACATTTTGATAGATAGATAGATAGATAGATAGATAGATAATGGTAATATTAGCCGCTCCTTAATATGAAAACATTTGACATTCATTGACCGCGCAGCCAGTACTACTTTCTGTTGAAATTTATAAAAACTTTCTATTAAAATAGTTTTTTTTTTTTTTTCAGGAAAATAATTTCCTCAAGTCCACTGACTGTTATCGCTCTTTTTAATATCGATAGGTTTTTCTTTCCTCAGATGACTGGCCCTCACCAAGACCTATAGACTTCATTCGCTTGAAGCCATTTTTAACCATTGATTTAAGAATGCGGTTGGATACAATTTACGATTTAAATATTTCTGAACGAATTTGGCGCCATGCATTGCATTTGTAGCAAAGTCTCAATCTGACGAATGCTATTTATGAACATGACTCGAGTTTTCAGGTTAATGTTTTAGTTCTGTAGTAATTTGCGATGTTGGGCAAAAGTACCCCTAGTCTAGCCTATTACTAGCCTATGTTCAATTTCTTTATCTTTTATGCTAAATTTGTTATAACTGATCAATACACCGAGGTGTTCGAACTGTTTATTGTTTGCTAATTTCACATACTGAATTTTTATGGTGTATTCAGAGTAAGTGCTATCACTGCATTCATTCTAATTTCAAGTCATATTTTTTGTTTTGAAAAGGTTTATCTTGAGTCCAATTTCTTAGAACACTTGGTTGAGGATGTTGATTTTTTTTGTTCTTATCCCAACTATTAATATCTGTCATCGGCGTCGCTCTTTCATCATCGGTATTCTGGCCCCGGGAAGGAAAGTAGTAATTTTCTTTTCTATTAGTAGACTTATTTTGGGATGTGATATTGAATGTTTAAATGGTCTGTACTCATTTCTTCGCATTTGTGCTGGTATATACGCATGTCATAGTTTAAAAAAAAAGATTAAATAGATTGGGGACCTCATTTCCTCTTCGTCGAACTCCTGATGAAATTTGAAATATTTGGGTATTGAGGTCTTTCTCAAATCGATATAGTTCTTCTTTGAGATGTAGATATTCAGTGGAATCAGAGCTTGGAAGGTGGTTTCTAATGGTTATGAAAAAGTTTCTATTAATATCGCCATAAGCTGTTGCGAGTTCAAATATAGGAAGTATACAGTTGTTTGATATACACCATCATTACATCCCTTACTAGAAGGAAAATCAAATTGGGTTATGAGCAGTTAATTTTTATAGAACGGTGAAAGTCTAGTTAATACAACATTCATTAGTACTTTCACCATAAAGTAAACAAATGAGATACCTCTATACGTGCGAGAGTCTTGAGAACTACCTTTTTGATAGATAGATAGATAGATAGATAGATAGATAGATAGATAGATAGATAGATAGATCCCCACCCTACCATCGATTTATCAATGTAGTTCTCTAACCACTGAACTACGATATTGTTTCTGTCTGTATAGGTTATGGTCTTTCATTAACGATAAACACTTGTATACGCACACTAAGAGACACACGTCCTTATTTAAAAGTTGCATTACGATATATTATTGCTTTTCTTCTCAATAATTTATTTGAGCGAACATATTCTGATAAAAATATTTTCTTTTTGTTTGAGCCTTTAACAATTGAGTATCTAGATTCCTCATAATGGTTTATCCGTCTGTGTACTTGGTAACCCCCCTACCCCTAAGATGTGACCCCTGCCATGTTTTGTAACATTTTTCATGAATGGGGATCTGACACTCTACACCACAATCCCAACAACGGTCAGTCATATACATTAACACTCAGCGACCTCAACGTTGTATAATCAAGTATTTACAGAGATTTTTAAAGACTTACGAAAATAATTCAGCATACATAGACAATTACATAACGGTTTTTCTGCACATATACACACAACTACATGTGGTGCATGTGCATCCGATTTAAGAATTTAATGTTGTTTTTATTATTTTTAATGTTGGAGATGCAATCTCCCAGAGGGTATGAAAATTAATAAACAACGTTATTTTTATATGGGGTGGGGGATTTTTGAGGTTCCGTGTTGTTGGTAATAATTAGATTAGATGCTTTAAACTTTTTATATTAGATGATTAATCTTAGGTCTTTTTTTAGGATTACTGAGTGATATGTCTCAGGGAATTATTTGTTTTGTTGCTTTTTCATTCTGTTTATAATTAGGGTGCATCTATTTACGATAGAATAAGTTAATGAAGTGTTTATTTGTGTCTAAATCAAGGTGGTGACTTGCATTATTTTATCTAAATTTTGTTAGGGATAATTTTATTTATTCGTCGATGATGTGGTTGTACATAAACTCTCTCAGAGGTTGATTAGTCACCTGTCGAAACTTGGTGCAATTCAGCACATGAACGAGTAAAATACAACCGCAGGTAAATATTTGTGGCTAATACCAAAATACTTTACAGCACCCAATGCAGGGAAAGACTTAAAATCCAAGAAGCTATTATTATACAAAATACACAGCCAACATTAAATAGAGTATCTTGAAATGCATATCATATATGTAATGTGCGCACGCACACACACACACACACACATATATATATATATATATATATATATATATATATATATATATATATATATTTTAACAGGTTTTAACAGGTTTTCCTGTTGAGTGTAGCAATTGCGTATCTCACATCCTGGTGCCAGTGTTCGCTGTTAAAGTCAAATGCAAAGACAAGATCCTCTCCATGTGGAGTATCGCCACATGACCATATACTTATTGTTATTTTACCCTTATGAGATTTGGCGCTAGGCTAACCTAATCTTAATATATTGTCAATTTCATTCCTCAAGCAATCATCAAACCAAGTGTTACTCCCACTGGGAAATTAAGGTAAGTTGGAGAAAAAAAAACAGATATGGATAATAAAAAAAAAGAAGCCGACATGAAAAATAAAATGAAATAAAAAACAGTACCAGATTACAACAATACTTCAGAATCATGTCACCTTTACCTACGACAGAAAATAGTGATAATCAACTTTCCAGAACAAGATATATTCCTAAAGAAAAGTTCAGAGGGTTTTTTTTCTGAATTTCTAAAATGAATAGTTATTATTTACGTTATTTACATGGGTACTATTTTCCTCATCTTTGTTATTATTTTAACAGTATTTCGGCCTTTGTGCCTTCCGGTCTTCATCAGGTGCTTGTTGATCTGGAATTTCGAACTGAACCCTTAATCTAATCTATGTGAGATATTGTTATCGTTCCGCCTACCATATCTACGGATATCACGACTCGTTCTTAATTAGTACAGCTCAGTTATTGCTGAGTTTCCACTGAGTTCGAGTACATACTATTCGGACCAGAGATTGAACTCAATTACTATGTTACCAAATTCACGAACCACTAGTATCGTGGTCAGAGCTCTTTTCAAAACACGAAGACAAATTTCTACTATTCCACTTACAACCGCTCCGATGAATCAAAAATACTAAATAAAATCCCATAATCAAAACTCACAAATTAAATCATCACCCAATATAGCCTAAAGCACAAGCCCTAAACAAAAGAACTGGAAAGGGTCGGTTTCTTCTTTCACACAATTATGTTAATCCTACTTTATATAGTCCCTAAGGGAGTCCGAAGCTCGATTCAGCAATGGCAGTAAATAGAGCCAACAAAAGCAGTAGCGACTGTTGGTTTAAAAATTGCTTGAGGTGTGAAACAGACATCACCATGCAGGGTTGATGCTAACGACCACATTATATCTACACGCACTCTATCTCTGATATTCAGCCTCCTCCTCCATAAATACTGCAAATTTTAAGCAATACATGCACACACTCAGCTACTCTCTCTCTTCCTCTCTCTCTCTCTCTCTCTCTCACACACACACACACACACACACACATATATATATATATATATATATATATATATATAATGAATTTTTTTACAATATTTACATGACGATTTTATAAGTATATGACAAATTGAAAAGTTCGGACTATTTGATGTTGATGCATAATTTACATATTGGATGACGATATATATATATATATATATATCGTCATCCACAGAAAGACAGTTTTCGCTATAGCACAGCTCAACAGGCATCTGATTGCCTCAAGCTGGGATCAAAACCCGATTTGGCATCTGTTGGAGATTTTACTCCTGAGCTATCAGCAGCCGGTAGAGTGGAAGGCAATTTTTTACGTACCTATTCTTCGAATAAACACGCCAATGACCAAAAGGACTCAATTCATGTAAAAACTTTTTTGACGTATTAGCAGTAGTAGTCATTGTTTACAAATTCACTATATATATATATATATATATATATATATATATATTTAATCGTCATGCGAAAGTTAATTTACCCATAGATTGATCAGTACCATTGTTTACAGTGAGTCATGTACTTGTAAAATTAAGTGCGCATATTTTTAATCCTGAGATGATAGCTTTTCACAGTTTACCTTCTATTTAATATCTGAGAATTTCTATGATTCTTAGAAAAGAGAGGAGGAATGATTCCCCGTTTCTTTCTCCACGGTTTGGATTTCAAAGTTGTTCTTATCCTAAACGGGTTACACCCTAAGACTTGAGAGCCAAGTCTACCTTGCTATTTAACCCACAGCTGAGGGTAAAAGAAATAGATTCGTACTTTTCCTAAGGTTATTAGTACAAAGTGAACACAACAGATGAATCTAAAACCTGAACTTGGATCTCCGATCCCACGGTTATCGTTATGCTATTCACGTAAGTATAACCAGTCCCAACACAATAACCCCCACCCACAAAAACGAATACTTGTAAAATCAGGGATTTCAATAGATTCCCATGTGCACATGCACGCATACACACCCAAACATATATTCTCTTAAAAGGACACACATTCTCACAAACGCAAATAGTTAGATAACTGTAGGCCTGGATTTATGATTAGAGATCAAGCAACGATGTTCAAACGATATTTTTGGAAATAAAAAGTGAAGAAAAAAGAGAAATTGGGGAAACACACAGAGAGAACTAGGAGTTACAAATAAAAAAGAAAAGAAAAAAAGAAAAACGAATTCTCTCTCTTAAGAAAGGTTTTAAAAAGATAAAGAAGTCGAATTTGTCTGCAAAGGCGCAGTCTACGTAATCTTTGTTTTTCTTATATAATCAGATAATTCTTTGGAAAGGAAATAAAAACCCGGTAAGACGTAGACATATATACTCAAAATGTCACAGATATGAAGAAATTTGAATTCGGTCTTTACTTAACTTGGAATAATATGCCTGAAAGCGAAACATTCAAGAGAGAATGCAACCGTTAATGAAAGCTTTTAAAATAAGTTCGCTAACTACACGGATTTTTAAGCATGAAGGTTAGTAGGATAGCAAGTCTTAAATTAATCTAAAAATTAAGCTTATTTTAATCATCTAACGAGGCTCAGATATTTTTAACGCAAAAGAAGCTCAGATTTAGTTCAGGTCACTTTATTTTAAAGTATAATACCATCTTTCTTAAATTTTGAATTAAATTTTATTTTGCAATAAGTCCCTGCTTTTTATCCTTTAAAATTTGAATTTATTCTTACTGCACATAAAAACTAAGAATTCGAAGTTATTATTTTTGTAGAGGAATGAATTCAAACAGAATCTAAAATTCCTTCCCCAAACTTAAAATTACCTCCGCTCAGCTTAGGGAAATGAACTGAAATTTCTAACTCTCATTAGAGTTATATTGTAAGGATGAAATAATATTCCAAACTTGAGAATTTGTAAAGCATCACCAGGGATCAGCTAAAATTACCTGAAACTATTAAAAAGACTGTAGTACTACATTGAGACAGTTTTTCTACAAAAAAAAAACAACAAAAAACATAAATTAGATAGATAGATAGATAGATAGATAGATAGATAGATAGATAGATAGATAGATCTAGTCTGATACAAATAAGCATTTTGTTACATTGAGAGAATTAAATAAAGATGACAGCGTTGTGATACTTTAAATATAAATGTATAAAGAGATCGTTAAATATTTTTTAAAATGAAATTAACATTTACGCAATGTAGGAATTGCAAATTTTACAGATACAGGAAAGTCACTTAAACATCCGTCAGCTTCATGAGACTATAGAACTATGGGCTGATATCCCAGATGCAGAGGCTGTCTGCTTACTGTCTGTCGAATGCACAAGGCCCGGGTAGGTAAATCTGGGAAAAACGGTCAAATTCATAGGCAAGTGTTGATACACATGGTCCCAGCACCGTTGTAGGAGCTGCTAGGATGTTACCTAATAAAGTTATGAACTATCTTAGCGACTCCAACTCCGGATTTTTTTTCTCGCCTGGATTGATTCTGGAAGCCTTTCTGATCAGTGGTTATAGGTGCAATGCAGAGGAGGTATTGAACTAGTGTTTTCCTTTAAAGAACCAACTTGTTTTGAATTCAAAGTTGTCCTTCTCCTAGACTGTTTGCCACCCAAGGCTTGAGAAGCCAGTCTATTTAACCCATAACTGAGACAGGGGTGTAGTCCTACTAGCTGATAAAGGAATGGATATGTTAGATTTGTATGCCTATAATATCAGCATTTGAATTCTCTATTTTCAATAAACTCGGGCACTGACAACGTACAAATATATTAGACAAAAAGCAAGTTCGATAGATAGATAGATAGATAGATAGATAGATAGATATGAACACCGTTGACTTGGTTCACCGGTTCCACTTTCTGCACTGATAATCTTTACACTCATCCATGTATGGATAGCGTAAGAGTTATCAGCACGGAAAGTAATATTGGCGAGCCTTGTTCAAATTCCGACTAAGTCTGCTGAGTTCACTTTCGCATCATTACCCTTACAAAATACATAAAACCATTTTTTTCTCTCACCTGGGTAGAATAGCGGGGTAACTGAACTCTCTAGCTTTGGATGACAGCCAATAAGAATTCCAAACCGAATAGAAAACAACAGGAAATACATTCTAGTATCCTAAGTCATAGTATTTCGCTAATAATAAAGAAAAGTAAATTTATGAAGTCCTTGATAGCTTATCTCCTGAAGGGATATGGCATTTTTCAAAAATTCTGTAAATTCAAATAAAAACCAACCTCGTATTTGTAAAATCAGAAATTTCAATCTATTCCGATTTTCGCATGCGAGAGCACACGCAGACTGAGATCATGTCCGTTGACCTTATCCAAAACTAAGCCAAGATTTGTAAATATCTATATCGTGTGGGCATTAGAAACTTTGCAAATAAACGAATGCAATGACAGTTAGAGGGAATGCGTACTGTAATAATCTTCCCTGTAAGGAAGGCCTGGTTGCCAGCCTTTAAAAACAATCATCCTTCGATATTTACAGGTTCCGTAGACAGACACGCAACTATCTCAGGTATATAAGCCCTATAAATAGTTCTCAATGAATTGCGCAAAGAAAGAAAGAAACAGAGTTGTAGATAGAGATAATGTTACTACTACTGGTTAACTCGTTGATCAGAATGTTACGCGATTACTGCAACGAAAGCCAAAAGAGAACAGAAGGAAAAGAAAAATCGCTTTACAGGGGGACTTGGAAAAAAAATAGAAGGAACGTTTGAAAAAAGACAGGAAAAAAGAAATGCGGAGTTTCCGAGCAAAACAGTCTTCCGTTTTTACTAATAGCGGTGATCTGATCACGTGATCGAACGGGCTTCTGCGAGTATTGTGATCGGGATTTGTTACTCAAGGTATTAAGGCAATATGTCAGATGGTAAGGGAGAGGTAGTGAAGAGAAGGAAAAGAATCGAGTAGAATAATAAAAAACGACAGTAGAGAAAGAGAGAGAGAGAATGCCACAGAAAGATGAGAAGAAACGTTTTAATAAAAAAAAACAATAAAAACGGTAGATATAGACAAACAAAAGGGAAACAAACGAGACTGGAAGAAAGAAATAAAAATAACGAGAATAAGACGATTTAAGTTTTGATGCAATGGAGTGTATTTTGCGGTTGCAATAATTTATTTACCAAGATTAGCTTAGTTTGACACGAGGCCACTACAATGTGCTGCTATTAAACATTGTAATTCAGAATTGGATGTGTAAGTGGTGTAGCAGTCAGTGAATCGAAAAGCAAAAGCAGCGGACCGATTTCGTATTCATTTTCGCACAAATAATCTTAAGAAAGGTATGAATCTATCTCTTCTCCCCATCCCTTCTATCTATGGATTAAATAGCAGAGCTGACTAGGTGGCAACCGCTATAGAAGAAGGAAAATTCTGAATTCAAAGATTGTCTGAAAAATGACAGGCTCTGTCAGACTATATAGACACACTTGTTATGGCTGCAGTACATGTGATGACTTTACGACACTGATGAGTTGCGGGAATCGTGATGTGACGAATCCAGAATTGCAATGAGGAAATGCAGGTAGGGTATCTGGTATCTGTGCGAAAAGTTGAATCGACGCGCCGAGTTCAAATTCTGTTCACTTTCGCGCAAATGCTTCCTGGAAAGGCATGAATCTACCCCCCCCCGCACTGTCAGCTATGGTTTAAATAGCAGGGTAGACTGGTTTTCTAAAAGAAGGAAAACTCTGAATTCCAAACCGTAGAAAAGATAACGTGAAACTACTATTTTCCCAAGAATGCATTGTAATTCACAGATAATGAAGAAAAAAAATCTAGAGAGTCATGATCACCTACGTCCTGAAGGGCCATGCCACTTCAGAATTGGTTTAGCCTCTTTGGTTTATAATAATAAACAATCTCTCGCAGTAATGATAGATTATTACGATTATTAACAAGAAAAGAAAAAAACATTTTTCTTTTTAAAACTAACATATTTTTCTATATCTCATCCTCTGACAGTTGTCGGGACATTATTAATATAAATAAATAAAAATAAAATATAATAATAATAACAATAATAATAGTAATAATGAAAATTATAAATAAAATAAAACAATAACATAAGAAATTTGTATAAAATAAATTTTAAAAAAATAAAAATCTCCCAGCATGCAACAGAAAATGTCGCTATCAGAAATAGGCATCCCACCAAAAGACGTTGAATTCCATCTATTCACCAACAAACTTGGGACAGTCAACACATGTCTAACCTCTCTCTCTCTCTCTCTCTCTCTCTCTAACTCTCTCTCTCTCTTTGTGTGACATGGCGTGTAATAATACGAATTGACTTCTCCCTTTTATCACATACAATCATGAAATATCTATAAGTAAAAATACACACACCTGTACACAAAAAAAAATAAATTGTACGATATGAATGTACAATTTACCATGCGTTCACTGTTATCGCTGTATATTTTATTTCTGCGATCTATTTTTTTATTTCCCGTGAACACGAGACTATTTCTGATGCTATAATGTGAGTGACCCCCACATAGTAATAACTGTAAAAATTCCCACACACTTTGTCAATTTTGGCAGTGGATCTACGCGCATGCTCACTTTCATCTCCAGTATGGAGTGAACCACTCTCTCATAACTACGTGGCAAAAATTTAATGGATATAGGCATTTAAATACGGTCATGGCGACCTGCTGAATTACATTTCGGAAACAGAGGTAATTTAAATTCCATCTTGCTTTGTATCAAACGTTCAGGTTGTTCTTTTTGGTGGTGGTAGTGGAATAGTATGGGGAATATTTTTTTGATAAACATTGAGACTCTTGGTACCAATAAAAATCGTTTAAATGATGCTGCCTTCCCAGATATTGTGACTGGTGGCCACTTCCAGCAAGACAATAGTAGCAGATTAGTTCAGGGAAAGCAGCAGTGAGTTTTCTGTGTTAGAATGTCTTGCACAGTCACTGGATCTCAATCCCATGAGAGCACCTTCGGAATGTGATGGAAAGGAAGAATCAAATCCTGGATGTGCACTCAGCCAATATAGGATAATAACGGGATGCCATAACAACAGTATGGTCCCAAAATTCGAAAGCATGTTTCAAAAAACTTTGTCGGATCCATGCCAAGATTATTTGAGACGGTTCTAGAAGCAAATGAGGGTTCAACCCAGTACCAGGAGGTAGACCTAATAAACTGACCAGTGAATATATATATATATATATATATATATAGTTGGATAGATGAACTCACATCTATCCAACTCTGATATTGAGCGCTTTCTAATAAGTATCGCGCATATAATATATAAATAATTATATATATATATATATATATATATATATTTATATTTATATACACACCCTTTTCACACACACACACACACACACACACACACACACACACACACACACACACACACACACACACACACACACATATATATATATAAGACTAATACAAATAATTGTCACTTAGATCATTGATGTTATAATATTGAGCACTTCAACTCCGGAGTTTCGTAAACAAACCGTTTTTGTAATTTTTGTAACTCAACAGGAGGTTTCAAGAACTCACTGCCATTTTTCTTATTTTTCGTTATTTTTATAGTAAGTTAGATTTAATTAATTTATGCGCTAGTTGGGAATTCTTATTATTTGTGTTGGGTTGATTTTTTCTCTTTTTGTGTTTGTGTGTGCGTGTGCATGTGTGTATGTGCGTATATGCCAAATCTCATGATATATATATATATATATATATATATATATATATATATATATATATTATTATTATTATTATTATTATTATTATTGCTATAAAAGTTATTTTAGCGGGTATACATTTGAATAGGTATATGTTTGAATTGACATCCCTGTTTACAAACAATTAAATTAACGTATTCCGGTCGAGTTAAAGAAAAAAGTCTTATGAAAGAAAATATACCATTCAGTTGTATTCGAACCTACATTCTTTTTTCTGGGATTTCATACTAACGCGGAAGTCCCTCAGGGTTCTATCCTTGGATTTACTCTGTTTCTGATCTTTATCAATGATCTCCCTGATATCACCAGTTCTCAACTAAGTATTTATGCAGATGACACTACCATTTATTCCTGCCTTAGTAGCAAATCCAACAGATCTGATGAAGTAAACCTGGCAACTACTCTTGAAAAAACCTCTAATCTGTGATTAACTGGGGCAAGAAATGACTTGTTAATTTCAACACCTCCAAAATGAAACTGCTTTTATTTAATCACCACAGAGAACCTTTTTGCCTACTATCAGGATGGCTGATGCTGAACTCCCGGAGAGCAACATTCTACACCTTCTTAGTCTCACGTTTTCCACTGGCATGAAGTGGAGCGACTATATCGAGTCAATTGCTACATCTGCTGCAAAGAAGGTTAGTCCACTGTGTCGTGCCAAAATTTTTCTCATCAGAATCTTGCACAGTTATAAATTTACCATTCGCCCGTGTATTGAATACTATTGTCATATCTGGTTTTGTGTGCCTACTGTGCATCTCGACATTCTTGACAAAATCCAGAGAAGTGTCTGCAATACAATCGATCCTGACCAAGCATCTCATCTCCACTCACTTTCTCACCGACATGACGTGGCTTCCCTCTGCCTGTTCAACAAATATTTTCATGATAACTGCTCGAATGAGCTTTTTTCATGGTGCCCCGAATGCTACTAGATTGGCAATTAGGTCATACCGTTTTACTGTAGAATTAGCTAGATGCAACCATCATTTCTACTCTAACAGTTTTTTTTTTCTTGCACTTTCCACATGTAAAACCTCCTTCCGGTTTCTTGCTTCCTTGTTAACCACAATCTTCAAAAATTTAAATGCAACGTTGTTACGGTTTTTTGGGTATATAATACGTATAACTAGGGTATTTATTTGCATAATAATACAAATTGTGGCACAAGGCCGAAAAGGGGAGGGGTAAAGGCTGGTCTTCACTAACTATCTTATACCTAGCTAATCAGATTCACGACCCATTCATGCATTACAATTTACTCATTCACCACAAGAACTTGTCCATCACCACTCAATCCTTCATGCACCATAATACCAGATTCTCAAGGGGAACCTATAAAACGCGCCCCGCACCATAAAAAATTTGATGATGATACATATACTATACATAAAATTCTAATAATGATAAGAATGAGAGGGAGGAGATGAACCCCAATAATAACTAAAATATACACAAAATACAAACTAAACATAACATATGTTAGTAGGGACCGTCCAACCCTCAAAACAGAGAGGCCGCTGTATTCTGCCCAGGGGACAAAATCAAGAAGCACTCTCGCTAAGGGAATGGGAAAAAGGATAAAATATTATACGGACATGGGAAAATGTAAAGCTGATCCAGTCGAGATGAAAGGGGGACCAAAACAAACTGGGGAGGCTGGGAATCTCGACATGGACCATAACCAAGGAGCAGCCGGGATACAGGCCAGGAACGACACTTACTCACATTAACTAGGTACACTGAAGTTTGTCTAACCTAACCAAGGGGAGGCTTCCACAGGAAGCCACCCCGATATGCTATAGATTGACCTAAAAAAGAAAATCAAGGCTAGCCCCGGTCACACGAACCAGGCTTGCTACTTTTACCCACCTTTCGCTGAAGACTGTCGAATGCAATCGTTTTCTATCAGATCTAATCTTCATCTTGAGCTGATGCTCAAAGAATTGGATTAGATGCTGATAAGAAAAGACGGTTGCCCCGCAAGACTTCCTCCATTCGCGTCGTCCAAATCACCATTCGAGCCGTGGCCATCAGCATCAGAAACACCATTCGTTTCTCCCCGGAATACGGGGCGACACATTGTCACACGCGTATGCGCGATCAATGGACACAAGCTGTTCGGGGAGCGAGACGAGCCGTCAGCTCGCCGACATGGTCCCATAAGGGGCGGACCCGGGGGGCAATGGTAGAAGGCGTGCGAAGCCGTTTCTTCTAAGCCAAGGCCACACCGTTCACAGTCTGGCAAATCCGCCAAACCCCATATGAAAGCCTTGTCATTGAGAGGCAGCCGATTCCGAGCCA